CTCTTGTATTCGTTGGCCTCATGGATAAATATTTGATAGATGCTCACGGACAACTGTATGCAGCATTCATTGATTATTGTCCCAAGCATGTTTATGGAACAAGCTTTATGCTGGTCGTCTGCTTGCTAGATGGTTGAAATTAATTATGAATCTCTATACAGGCAATTCATTATATGTCAAGCTAAATAACTCGGGATGTGTATCTAATTGAATTTCTGTCCAGAGGTGAGTACAACAGGGTTGCATCCTTCCACCCCATCTTTTCAACTTGTATTTGAACACCTTTGTATCTGGGTTACGGGATATTTCTGTCATTGCACTGCGTTTGGAACGTCATCCAGATCTTCGACGTGGTCTCTGTGCATTCACACCCATGGGATTCAGTGCGCACGCGCTGGATCGATCGGTGCTGTAGCAAGCTCTTTTAACGGATTTTCGCGCCCAGACCTCGGGCATGCGCAGGAACCCCACTGCACATGCCCAGAGGGGAGGGCGCGGACATCCCGCCAGTTCCTTTCTTACCGCCGCGTTGGAAAGACCTTTTTCTTCGTCGGTCTGATCGGTTCGCGTGTTTTGGTATTTTGCCTCACGGCTCTTTGGATTTTTTCCTCAGTTTGTTCCTTTTTGCCACCAGAACCAACAAAAGGTGTCCTCTGTTCTGCAGTCGAGGAGGCAGGGACCCACAATCTCTGGGAGACAGTCTCCTTTACCCTTGGTCCATGGGACTTCTTTACCTGTTCCCTCCCCTACTTCTGCTTCTGAGAGTGGTCCGGAAAATACTCAGAGACGGTGCGGACTGCATCTTAATAACCCCATGGTGGCCAAGGCAACCTTGGTTTTCAACAGTCCTCGAGTTATCAGAAGGAATATACCATCAATTCCCTCCGGCTCAGGACCTCCTCCTCCTCTCCAACTCCCCTCTCCTCCATCACGACAAACCACAATTGAAACTGACGGCATGGAGAATAACGTCACCGGCTTCTCCACCCGCGTAGCGTTCTGTTGAATTCCAGGAAACCTACTATGCGGAAGTCCTACAATTATAAATGGCGAAGGTTCTTACCTTTTATCTGCCCTCCTGATCTTTGACTGTAGTTATGATTTAATCACACAAATTGATCTAAAATGAGCAATAAAAGCCTTTGCAACCCATTGTAGCCATGAGATCAACTATGATAAATCCAAAATAATGATATTCACAAAATCCAAAGAAAGACTAATCAAAAGCTGGAAAATCGATGTACATTCTAGGCAAGTGGTCAATAAATTTAAATACTTGGGGATTATTATTCCAGTCGAATCTGTCATGGTCTAAGCATGGTCATACGGCTTGAACTGCGTCTTCCAAATATTTCCACTTTGATGTGCAAAGCAATCATTAACTTTAAATTTAGATTGCTTAACAATGAAGATCTCCCCGCTCTCCCTCAATCAGCAGCCCAGGAGTGCTGTTGGTCTTTGTGGAACAGAGCTGAAGATTTTCAAATCACTCGACTGTTCCCAGTGAGGCCTTTGAGCCCCTTAACAAAGAAGAAAAGAGAGCTACTCATTGAGACATTACATAAACAGGACTGGGACCAGAAGGAAATGTTCTCTGCTTTACATAGGACATAAATATCCAGCTGAATTTGAATCTCCGCACTATCTTCACATGTTGACGGTTCCTAAACTGAGATGGTCATATACGATTACATGCTGTACTGGATTACCCGCAGCTCGGATGAAGGGTTGCTTTCTCAGGACATCTCTAGAACAGCACTTTTGTGACTACTCTTTATCAGCTGTTGACTCATTAATGCATGTCTTTCTTTATTGCCCGAAACATGCTGAGGCCAGGGGGAAATTTCTTTTGAAACAGTTATCAAAATATTCACCTACTGTGGACCTGCTCTGGATAGCCCAGGCAAGTCAGATCTTGGAAGCTAAACAGGGCCGTCCTTGGCTAGAATTTGGATGGGAGACCTCCAAGGAATACCAGGGCTGGGAGCCAGAGGCAGGTTCTCCAGCCACTTCTCTGAATGTCCTCCATGCCCCCAGTAGGAGTCACCAGAGGTCACCGTGACTTACAGGCACGCATGCGTGCACACACACAGAGCAAAAATACCGAATACTCAGCTATTGTGGCCATTCATAAGCTTATTTCTGAGTAGCCACAGCAAAATTTGTACTGTTGATGTGGCTATTGTTTGCTTTGTTACTATTCTTAAATGGTGGTATATGGCCCACAGGCTTTTAAACTTGAATAAAACATCAAAAACATTGAATCTGCCCTATCTGTTGCTGGTTCTATTTGCATATCTATTGACCATATACTTTATGGTGCCATTTGGAATTGTAACAAGCTGGGGAACTGCAAGGATTTAAGGGGGTACTTCATTTTCCCCTCCCCCAATATTCCCTCTCCCATTTTCTTGCTTCCTTATTACCCAACAGTCCACCTCCCTTTATATACCCCAGCTTCCCCCTCCCCCACAGCCCTCAAGAAAACTATGGTCCAGTTGTGCAGTGCCAACAGCTGGGCTGGGCTCACTTGCATGGTTGGGAACCTTCAAGAACTTGCAAGGGAACCTTACTTTCCCCTGTATCCCCGTCGCCAGTGTCTTTCTTTTCCCCTTCTTCTTGGCAACCCCCATATCCTCTCACTTTTCCCCGCCTCCTTCGCCCACCAACTTACCTTTTATCTGCCCTCCTGATCTTTGACTGTAGTTATGATTTACTTCATTTAGCCCAGGATAGCCCGATCTCGTCAGATCTCAGAAGCTAAGGCCTGGTTAGTATTTGGATGGACAACCATCAAGAAATAGCACGGGGACAGGCAATAGAAAACCACCTCTGAAACGTCTCTTGCCTTAAAAACAAATCTAGCTTGCCACCAAATGGTGCATAACGCTAAAAGAGCTTGAACCTCTGGCTGCCAGACAATCTTAGGATCTCCTGGGTGTACTACACACACTGCCATACAATAATTATTACATATTACTTCATTTATACCCTGCCTTTCTCCACAGTGGGGATTCGAAGCAGTTTACATCACTTTACTGAAATCTTGGGGCTGCTTAAAATATCATTTTAACTTAGAACTGCCCCAGACTTTGTGGGATAGTGGTTGTGGGTCTGTGGAAGTAGCATACGCAAGATCTACTGTATCCTGATATAAACAATAATAGACGTTCCCAAAAGGAAAATATAGAAAGTAGTGCTTTATAGATGTAAAATATTTTATTTGTAAATGCTGATCTTCTAAATCTGTTTCCACAAATTTCAAAGCCCATAACACTCTGTATACTTCAAAAATTCATTTTTGTCAACATTAGATACTATTATACAGAACAGAAAAAAACCTGTAGGACAAATACTGGTAGGATGTTGGAATATTGTACAAGAGAAGAAAAATATTCAAGAAACAATTTCATACAGCTATTTATCAAGAGAAAAATATATACAATTGATTTATTCTGTAAGATAAAAATACATCATGCCATATACATTACAAGTTCAGAACTGTATCACTGAATATACCAACAGTTTTACAGTCCACTTTAGTTGTGCACACAAAAACTTCATTTTTTTTAATATTTAGACTGTGAAGTGTCAGTACCAGAATTTAAAGTACAAAATAAAAAACTAACCTGGTTCAAAATGTTGATTAGGTTTCTACAAGCAAACACAAACAGTGTTTATTTTTAAAAGAAATGTAAACAAAACAATCCATACAAACACATTTTTAAATTACATTTTCCAAAACCCTATTGCCAGAGTCCTGCAGCTGAAGACACAATTACACCTAATTTTTTCCTTTTACTTTTAAAGAAGGCAGCTATTGTATTAGACTTATGCTCTCACTACACATTTCTAGTTTCATTACATGATTTTAGTGAACGGTCATCTAATCCCCACTACTTTTTTGCTGGGGGGAAAATGTTCAGCCTCTATTTTGGGTGGTTTTAGCAGTTATTCACAGTTATCACAAATCCTAAGCACAAAAAAACCTGATTTAAGAAATAGGGATGTAACAATATAATACAAATAAATCAGTCTAAATTTCCTCAGACATCTACAAAAGTCATAATTGTAATATACATGCTCTCTACCAGTCTTAAGGGTTACTTTAAAAAGTTCATTAATAGATCACAATTGAGCCTGCTTTAAAGATTAAAAAAATAAAGTAAAACCTCTCTTTAAATTGAGATTTTGGTTATTCCATAACATCTGTAATGGCATGTTTAATAATACACAAGATCATATTGTAACATCCCTATCAGAGTTTTATAATAAGCACCCGAACTTCTGCAGAGCCTGGTAGCATTTGGTCAATTACTATTTTTTTTTTTTGTATACTGTAATGTTTTTCTCAAAATATTTACACTTGTGTACAAAGTAACAGGTTTGTTAGTTCTGCAGGTAACAGCAGCAGCTTGGCTTCTAACTTTTCCTTTTAAAAATAGCTTCATTCACTTATTTCAATAATAAATACAAAAAGTTTCTCTTATTTTACAGAAATCAAAAACTACAATAAACTGACTCATGGAATCAAGTATTTTAAATGTATTTTAGTGCAAGTTATTTTTTCCCTTAGCTCTATCCCTAAGGAAGTCATTTCAGTACATTCCTTGTTCAGTGGTGTCTACTTTTATTTTAATTTTTTTTTTCTGTATTTAGAGGGCCTGCCCCTTTAATAAGTAAGGCTGTGGCCAGCACTTTGGACGTCTCCCTTTCGCTGGTGATTTCAGTCTACATTCATTGGTGCCCCACTGCCCTTCAGCAGGTCAGCCAGAGCTTTTTCTGCCCAAGTTCAATGATTTCTCCTCAGTGAGTTCATAAGGTCAAAAGCACTGGACCGGTCTGGGGATCGGCTTCCCCTCTGTGCGCCTGGGCAGCCAGGCAGTTCCAGCTTCCGCTTCTGATGCTTGCTTGACACGCGAGTCGAAGAAAGTGTTACTCTCACGGAAGTGATCTGCGTTCGCGTCCCACCCTCCCAACCCCAAACATCACTTCTTGGGACACGCAACCCTCTGAGACAGCAAGGAATGCATCTAGTTCATCCATTTCCGGCAGTTTACAGCTCCACAGTGACATGGAATCTTGTGCTGGTCGTCTTCAAAATCAAACTTATAGTCATAACAGAGCTGAAAGACAGTAATTGTCAGGAGAGCGGTTAGATGCTCTGGGCCTTGCAAATGCCAAACCCACCAACCTTTGCATCTGTGGATAAATACATTCTCCATTTCACCACGTTGTTGGATTTTAAATGGCTGCCGTTAATGAAGGAAGAGATTAGCACAGTACCCATGATGGAATACTTCCCCAAATCAGGACAAGGGTGAATGGCAGTTTTGATCTGTAACATGATATGTTTGGAACTAAATGATCAAGAATCAGTTCAGATTATATTTATACAAGTAAGAAAATGGGGTGGCGCTTACCTGTAACCACTTCATCAAGTGGTCTGCTGTGCAGGCACACATAGGGACTGTGCAGTTGCAGGCCAGAAGAGCTAACAAGCTTTGCAAAGATCTTTCTAGAGCTAGAGAGTGCTCTTTCCCACCCCCATCTTCAGTGTATCCCTTTTCCCACCCACAGGGTCACAGTGTGGGGTGAGCACTCTTCCCTCAGTTCTCCCTTTGCCGTTGTGAGGACTAAAATCGACATGAAACGATAAACTACCTACAGCGGGGAAAGGAGGGAGGGATATGTGCCTGCACAGAAGACCACTCGATGAACTACGGTTACAGGTAAGTGCAACCCTGTTTTCACCGTTGTAGCTTCTGTGCAGCCCCACATGGGAGACAACAAGCTCACTCTCTGAGGAGGCAGGTGTGGGCTGATTAGCCAGAGATAAGAGTGAAGAACCACTTTCCCAACAGCTGCCTCCTTTTGAGCATTCACATCCATGGAGTAGTGCTGAACTAAGGTGGACCAGGTAGCTGCTTTGCAGACATCACCTAGCGACAACCGGGTCAGGAAGGCTGCTGACGAAGCCTGTGCTTTGGTGGGGTGCACTCTGATACCAATGGGACACGGCAATCCAGCTGCACTATATGCTGTTTTGAGAGTGTCCATCACCCACCGAGACACTAACTGAGGTGACGCTGCCTTCCCTTTATTAACCCTTTTAAAGCAAATAAAAAGGTGTTTGTCCTTTATAAACTGTTCTGTACGTTTTAAATAAAAGATGAGTGCTCGTCTCATATCTAGTGTGTGCAGAGTTTGTTCAGCAGCAGATGTAGGGGAAGAAAAGAAAACTGGCAGAACTATATCTTGGTTGTGAAATTCAGAAACCAGTTTGGGCAAGAAGTCCAGCCTGGGTCTCAGGACCACCTTGTCCGCATGACATTTGGTAAAGGGTGGTCACGGCTTAAAGGGCTCATCTCTCCCACCCTATGTGCAGAGGTGATCACCACTAGGAAGGTGGTCTTATAGGAAAGAAATGACAACTCAGACGTGGCCATGGGCTCTAAAGGTTTATGCATTAATTTGGATAAGAGGAGAGACAAACTCCATTGCGGGAGAGGGCAGACAGAAGGAGGGTACAAATTATATAAACCCTTAAGGAACTTCCTGGATTCTGGAGCAGAAAATACTGAAGACATACCAATAGCATTATGAAAAGCTGGCTGCAGCTAGGTGAGAACCTTAACAGAAGACGAGGCTACACTTCTGCCCTTTAACAACAAGTAATCAAAACATTTTTGACAACGCACAATTAACGGGGTCAAGTCCCTGCTGCATTGCCCACTGCGAGCATTTAGCAGCACAGGATTTATGTGCAGAGGGTCTCCTACAGGCAATCATAACAACTGTCACCCTCTGGGAAAAGCCCCCCCCGTGCAGAATCGGCCAAGCCGATAGATGCAAGGACCGAATTTAGTGGTGAGCTTGTTTTTGCAAATGTGATCTAGGACATCATCTGTTTGCACATTGAACAGCTCTTGACCTTAGAATGGAAGGTCCTCAATTTTGGCCCTAGTATCCTGCGGGAGTGCAGAAGATTAAAGCCAAGAGTGCCTGCGTAAGACGATCCGTTTACAGAGCTCTGCTGTGACAATCAGCTACATTTCACTGTTGCTTCTCTAACTTCTGATCCTCCAGGAGCAATACCCTGGTGAGGGTTTTTTTTTTATCATCAGGAAGTTGACAAACTGGCCCATACAATCCCATAACAACATTTGGTAACGACCCATAACAGCAGTGAAATTGGAGACACAAAGTCCCATGGCACCCAAAGAATAAATTTGTCACCCCAGAAAGTCCAGCTGATGGCCTTCCTTGTCTAAAAGCACAGAGTGTGTCCCAGCTCTACCCTTGGTGGGGAATATTTCAGAGACCAGGGAATTAGGCCTGAGCATGCTGAAATAACTGGCTCGATCTTCCCTGACTTTATACAATTTTTCTAGCTTCCTAGCAGAAGCTGCAGTGGATGAAGTTTTGGCCCAAATACACATGGCAATGTCATGAATACCCTGTAACATAGGTAGGGTGATGGGTCCCGAATCTGGAGCATATAAGACCTTCATAATGGGGAGTGTAGATTGAGACTCTGGGGACATGTATTTGAGCCCCAAGGATTTGGCCATATGAATCAACTGCTCAGAATATGACTTCAAATCTTCAGCTGGAGAGGGAGCTGAAGGTTTGCTAACTGTATCGTCATGTGAAGGTAAGGATGTGTTTTCAGATTCAGCTTCCAAGCAGTGTTCCCTCTAAGCTGAGTTAGTGTGAGCTAGCTCACAGGTTTTTAGCCTCTGGCTCACACATTTTTGTCTTAGCGCAGGAAGGATGGCTCCAGAGCAAACTAACTTATGCATAGCCAAATCGTTTGCTCACAACTTTAATGCCAGTAGCTCACAAAATAGAATTTCTGCTCACAAGACTCCACAGCTTAGAAGGTGCATTGCTTCCAAGTCCAGATCCACTGGTTCCTCGGGATTGGACAGGAGGGAAGCTGCGTCTCCCATAGATAAATGGCTGGGTACACATTTATCCTTGGCTCTTCCTTGGTTTTGTGGATTAAAAGCAGGCCATGGAAATGGAACACATTGGCCCTGTTAGTCCCACGAAGCCTTGGGATGGGTAAGAGGTGAACCAGCCGAAGTGGCAAAACTCAATGCCAAGCTGACATTGAGGAACGGTCATGCGGAGTCGATGCTTGGCTCCAATGGGAGCAGTTCGACACAGAATAAGAGTTCACTGCAGCCATGGATGACTGGGAAGTACAGTGTCGAGGTGAAGTAGACTTTCGGCGTCAAGGAGACTTTGAGACTTGATGCCGAGGAGAAGGCAATTGGTGGTCTCAGTGTTTAGCCTTCTTTTTTAACCTTTTCAAAGGCGGCTCCAACATTGTGTGGGTAAGGTCTGGCAGCATGGTCAGTGCTGAGGTCGATAAGAGTTGGTGCTGATGCTACTGAAGGAGCACTCAGTCTTTTATCGGATTGTGCCTGTTTCTCCACTTGGGGGTCTGGGGCACCCAGCGCCTTCTCCCACAAGGGAGCTTTAAGCCTGACCACTCTCCCATCTCTTGCCTTCGGGGTCTGTTGGCACAGGTTGGGCATGAAGCCATATTCTGCCCTTTGCCTAAACAAAGTAGGCATGACTTATGGTCATCGTTCTGGGACATTTTGGCTCCACGCTTTTCACATTTAGGCCCTCAGTACTCACTGAGGGAAGGAAAAAAAACACAGAAAAAGGCTCGTGCTCTCCTCACAGCGGCAAGGAAAGAACCGAGGGAAGAGTGCTCGCCCACCCCTGTCATGTGACCCTTTGGCTAGGAAAAGGAAGACACTAGCGCTAGAAAGATCTTTGCAAAGCTTGTTTGTTCTTCCGCAGCTGGCCTGCAACTGTGCAGTCCCCATGCACAGAAGCCATGACAATGTTATTGGAGCAAGAGCTTTTATACAGGTCGTCTTGCTGTTGCAAACTCAGGGCTGAAACCGATGTGCAGACTCATGAACCAGAATCCTCACCTGGGGACCAAGTTTCGGGCAGAGAAACATTTGAAAGTGCCCAACTGAATAGCCTTCTCTTTTTGGCATGGTTAACTTTCTCATTTGTGGGGTGGGGCTACACAAGGTAGTAGTATCCTCACATTTTATAGCATCCTAGATAATTTTTGTGTTACAGCAGTAAGCGTTTTGAGATGCATGCAGGTCCTTATTACAATAATCTAGAAATCTTAACAGTCCAGCACTCTGAACAGGCTTCCTTCTATCCAGCCATTATTTACAATGGCAACCAAATATACAGTCTGATTTCCACCCTGGTTGCTGAAAGCCATACAGTGAGTTGTGACTGACCAGCTGGAGCAGAAACTCAGCAAACTTCTAAAAGGAAAAAAAAGCTGGTGGACAGGAATCTTGCAGCTTCGACTAAGGGACCTGGAAGAAGAAACTGAGCATATTCTGTAAATAAAGACACAAATCCCACCTCTTCTCCTTTCTGGATTCTCCTGCTGGAGCTGATGATAATCTTATGTCCCCTTTCAAAGGTGACCACCTCAGCCACACAGTTTGGTGCACAGGAATGGTTAATATACCTACGGAGGGGGGGGAAACCCAACATTTGTATTAGTCTACAGAGTATGTAAATGGATTTTACTATAAAACAGACATATAACCACTGTGCTCTCAGTAAGAACTACCTCAACAGCTTACAGCTACACATCTGTCAAGACAGCAGCAAAGTCAAAACTATAGCAAGTTAATAAGGCAGTTTCATATTTCAGTTGAAAGCTGGAATGTTGAATGGGCCACCTTAGAAACTGAAGGCTATTTCTGAAGACGGCAAGTTAAGCAGGAGAAGAGCCAGTGAAGGGGGAACGTGGCTCGTCTCCAAGAACGAGATCGCCATTTCTGTAGAGACACCCACCTTGCAGGGCCTCCCGTCAATGTGGCATCGATGACATGGTCATTGTCAATGCGGAACATGTACACCCCACGATTCTAGGGGGGGGGGAAGAGGAGAGAAGATGCTGTCAGATTGGTCCAAGAAAAGTCAGTCATTCAAACAACAGAGTGACATGGGCTTGCTCCAAGGCTGTGTGGGGTTTTGTTTTTAAATTTGGAATTGGGCAGAGTCCTTTGGTTCCCTAAGGAAGTGGAAGTGTGTGTATTTTACACACCGCAGGAAGCACAGCTTTCTTGTTTTTGTAAGTGTGTGCAAAGGTAGCAAGAATACAAGGCAACTGACAGGTTTTTGAGGCTCAAACACACCCAGCCACAGACTATTTATTAATTTGGAGCCCTCTCACAGGCACACACTTAATCCCTACCTACGGCCACAGCATGATCTCTGGATAGACTCTCACAGGTGCAGCCTCTTGTGTTATACAGGGAAGGGAAATTCAGCATTAGCACAATAGCCTCAGTTTGGTCATTTTAGCTTCCAGGGAGAATTCAGGCTCAATTTGATCTAGAACCCACTTATCAGTCTTTTTGGGAGTCCATGGCAGCTGTAAAACCCTCATTTGAAATGTGGCATTGGAAGAACCAGCTTTCTTCACTGTCCAGCTTTCACACCCACACGCAGGAGTGGAGAATACTGTGGCATGAATTATCTTGAGCTTGGTCACCAGCACCACATCCTTACACTTAAGGATCTTTTCTAGTTCCTTCATGGCTGCCTTTCCCAGTCTCCGCCTCCTCCTGATTTCTTGGTTGCCATCTCCCTTTTGGCTGATAATTGAGCCGAGGAACAGAAAAACCTTTAACAATTTCAATTTCTTCATCATCAACCTTGAAGTTGCATAATTTTCCAGTAGTGATCACTTTTGTCTTCTTAATGTTCAGCAGTAATACTGCTTTGACGCTTTCTACTTTAGCCTTCATCAGCAGTCATTTCAAATCTTCACTGTTCTCTGCCAGTAAAGTAGCCTCACTTGCATACCTCTACTTGTTAATATTCCTTTCACTAATTTTCACGCCACCTTCCTCTAAATCTTTGTCAGGCCATACGAATGTCTGAAACAGCAGGCAAGCTGCCTTACCTGAGATTCATACAGCTTCTCTTTCCTGTTGGCTACCTCGTTGCGGATGATGGTTCCAATATATTCAATGACCATGGTGTGCTTTTCAATGTCTCTAGCAGCATATAAGCCCAGGCCCTGTAAAGATAGTTAACAACAGATATACTGACCTTGGGCCTGAAAAGCTCCTTCTGGGAACACCTGAGGACCAAAGTGCACACAGGTGCTACTGTACTGGGGGGCAGGGGTTAGGATAGGGCGCCAAAAGTTTAGATGACAACGTTAATAACTTTTAACACTGGCAAAGACAAACAGCACAAACAAGTCCCAAGAATCAATGCCTTCCAGACACAGAGATATTGTAACTGACCTGAATACGTGAACGTGCCAAATACACGTTGGATTTCCATTCAGTCTTCATTTTTCGGTACTGTGAGGACTTTGAATGAACAAACTGTTTACTGTAAGGTGCATTCAGTTCTCCGGTAACTGTGCTCTGAAATGACTTTGAAGTGCTGGTGCTATTCAGGGTATGAGGCCTGTAGTGATGGGTCACAGAACAGAAGAGACATACAAGGAGAACTGAAGATCTCTCTGAATTTTATGCATTTTGAATTTATTTATTTTTTTAATGACAGACAGACAGACATTCAAAGCCAGCTAGCAGAGACGACAAAGCAGCTTCCCTGGCTTGGACATGCACATACACAGCCGACGACAACAGGGTTTGTAAGCAGCACACAGAAGCACAAATATTTTACGCAGCCTATAAACCCTGGGCTGTACTATGTGAATTTAAAAGAAAATACCTTAACACAAACCTCTTGACATGGGTACTCATTTTCGGCTCAGAGCGGGCACAGCCGGTGGGGTTGATGGCCAGAGGAAGTTCCATGAGTGGGTTTCGGCCATAGCGGAAGGTGTAATTCTCACAAGCCTCAACCCCAGGAAGCTGAAAGTACACCAAGGAATCACGTCAGTGCGGATGCAGAAGAAACAGTCAAAGAAATGGCCAGTGTGCTTGCAGCAGGTTGCTTAAGAACCACAGCAGCTGCTCTTCTGCTGCAAGCATGTGACCGAGTGCTTTGCAAACCTTTCACCTTTCTTGCTGGTTTTCCTTTACAAGCAGGTTCCCAAGCCTGCCTTTCCAAATCCTGCTCACAAGACTCACCGTCATTCTTTACAGGGTGTTGAACACAGAGGATGTCCCCTTGTCCACTCCACCACACATACACCCGCATATTCACTGATGGGGAGGCAATTCCACCCCATCTCTAACCTGCTAATTTGCTTCCTTATCCTTTTTACAACCTCCCTCAAAAAGATAGAGTCAAGTGGTAGTGGTGGTCTGAAGCAACAGAACAAAGTTTGAGTCCAGTGGCACCTTTAAGAGCAACAAAGTTAAATTCTGTGCATGCACACTTCATCAGATAGGTGCACATAAAAGCTTATACCCAGAATTAAACTTTGTTGGTCTTAAAGGTGCCACCGAACTCAAACTTTGTTCCCTCAAAAAGAGAATGTGCAGCTCAGGAAAGAAAGTGTATCACAAGCCCTCTGCATACTATACAAAAAGGGCAACAGGAACTACAGACGACCTTTCTCCATACATTGCTGGGATCTTAAGACAGTTGCCATAAGAAAATCCTTCCTCCATCAAATTAGCAGTCCACCTGCCCAGCATCCTGTTTTGCACATGGCCAGCCAGTTGAATGGCCAACAAATAGGGCACAGAGTCCAACGTGTTCCTCCTACCACTGGTATTCAAAGGTTAATGGACTCTGAATATGGACGTTCCCTTTCGTCACCATGGCCAGTAGACATTGATGGAACTCTCTTCCATAAATCTGTCCAGTACCCCTTTAAAGTCATCTACAGCTGTGGCCATCACTATTGTCCACTGGCAGTGAGTGAATTCCCTAACTTAAGTACTCATTGAGCATGAAAGTATTTCCTTTTGTCCATCCTGAATCTACTGCCCATCAACTTCACGGCATACCCCCTGAGTCTTAGTATTACAGAGGAGGGAGGAATAAGTTCTCTCCATTAACTTTTTCTACCCCATGCATAATTTTATTAACTTCTCTCCCGCACCCAGTTGTCTTTTTTCTACACTGAAATCTCCAGCCTCGTTAGACTTTTCTCATAGGAAAGTTACTGCACCCCTTAATCATGAGCACACCAGAAGCTACCTCGTCCTGAGCCAGACCCTTGGTCTTTCCAGCTCAGTCTTGTCTGCTTTGACTGGCAACAGCTCTCCAGGGTCTCAGGCTGAGGTCTTTCACGTGAGCTACTGCCTAGCCTTTGGCGCCCAGAAGGTCCCGGGTTCAGTCCCCAGCCTCTCCAGTTCAAAGCACAGGCTCTGCCACTGAGCCACAGGCCCTCTCCATAGGCCCTCTTCTGCTGTTTTCCCACCGCTGCACTATCTTTTCTGAGCAGGGGTTTCTGACCTCCGTTTGCAGTAATTCCCCCCCATAGTGCCACAAAAGTCTTTGTTATTTTGGCAGCAGGAGACCAATCCTTTCTACTGCACCGCTGGAATGAATCCAAAGACAAACATGCTTAAATATGGTTCAAACCTACCTGAAGCCCTTAACTGAGTGATAATAGGCTGCAATTCTATATACCCTTCTCCGGGAATAAGCATCATTCATCATAGTGGGAGTTACTGAGCAGTAAACGCCATTATTTTCAACAGGACAATGAAGAGCCTAACTTTCTTTGGACTGGGACAACGAAAATGACAGAAGGTCATAACTAGCACTTAATATTAGTGTGTATCACATTAAGTTGAATGAGCCTTTGATGATATCACTAATGAAGTTACTGGATCCCAAGACTTGAATAGATACTATTAGGCATTATTCAGCCCACCGAAAGCTGAATCAGATTCTCTAATCTGATTTGGATGGCTGAACAGAGATTCCCTGAATGGATGCTGTATATTCGGCTTCCATTCGGGAAATCCCTTTCCTGGGCAGGGGGAGGCATTTAAATGCTTCCCTGCACCCTCCCAGGCCCTTCCTGGCTCGCCCGCCTTGGTGGGCGTGCCAGGGAAGGCGGGGGGGGGGCTCTGCAGGCCTTCCCTGGCTCAACCACTTCAAATGAAGGGAGCGTGCCACCTCTGTGGCGCAATGGGGGGGGGATTTAAACCTTAAAACTCCAGTTGCGCCGCAGAGGCGGCACACTCCCTTCATTGAATTGCCTTCCCTTCAGTGATAGGACCCCCCCTTCAAGGGGGGTATTATTATAGCTTATGGGGACAGTCCCCATAGGGTATAATTGAGCCGAATATGATTCGGCCGGCCAAATGCCACCCCATTCAGCTTGCATTGCCGAAAGTGTCATTTGGGGGTCATTTGGCTGGTCAGTATCAAGCAAGAACAGGTCAAGAGCCAGCCTAGTTGTTAGAGCTGAGGAGGCCACTCACAGATTCTGCTATTCTTGCCACTGCAGAGACAGTCAAACCAAAGAGGTCTTCGCCCTTCAGATACGCAGGAAAGAGCTGGAGCATTTCAGAACTCTTCCTTACAGCAACAACAGGATCCAGGACTTTATCCCAAACACCTGCAAAGGAAAAAAATTACAGTGAAGACCAAAGAACTTCAGGAAAAAGAACAAAAGTCTTGACTCAGGTTTTATACCATCTGAAGGACATGGCCACTTTGGATGTAGTGCTATGATATGCTCTAGAATGCAGAGGAGGAAGATGGCACATTTCTCTCATGAATTCTTTACCCTGATTTCAGCTGTGCAAGGAAAACCACATTTGCCCTACATGTTCCCCGGAGAGCACTGTGATCCGGGATGCAAAATCAGCTGGCACTTCCAGGCCCCAAGCATACTACGCTGGCGATTACCAGGGCCAGGGCCTTCTTGGTAGTGGCTCCATCCTGGTGGAATGAGCTCCTGGAAGAGATCAGGGCCCTGTGGGACCTTTTACAGTTCCACAGGGCCTCTAAATGGAGCTCTTCCACCAGGCGTCTGATTAGGAGCCACATTATATACTGAGGAGTGTCCCTGTGCCCTGGTTTTACCCTCTTCTATCTCCAGCCACTCCCTGACTTACCAGCGCTATCTCCAGCTTGTGCCTGCCGCACAATAAGTGAGAGAACTAAGCTGGTGTGGAAGCTATTGGAACTATACGACCATCTAAGCCAGGCCATAAAGACTGTTTGCTCTTGTTTTATTTGGATATGTTCTAGCGCTTTTAGGTATATTTTAAATTACAGTTATTTTATGCGATTTGCTTATATGTTTTGATAGGCTTTTAATTGTACTGTATCTCATGGAATGCTATGTTAGTCGCCTTGAGCCCGCCTCGGCGGGGAGGGTGGGATATAAATTGAATAAAGAAATAAATGTATGAGGAGCACACATATGTCCATAGCTCTACACTGAAGAGACTTCCTGTAGCACACGTCCATATGGGGAAACAGTATGAAATCATCACAACGGATAGTGATTGTGGGCATCTGCAATTTGCTACAAGTGTTATGTGTAGAAACGTGCCTTGCCTATTACAGACTGCCTTCACTTTTGCCTCCCTTTGTAAGGTAATTGCAAGAGCGGATGGAGATATCTGTGGCCAACTAATACTTACAGGTATTTGATTGCCTTCAGTGGAATGAAGTGAATCACACTTAATATATTCACGTTAATTTAGCCTAACCCAGCACAAAGACCAAGATACCTGAAAATGCCACATGAAGGTAAAAAATAAATGTGGTAAGAAGGTGACAGAGAAGGAAATCCTGGAACGATACTCACAGATTAATATCTTAAAGGTGCTACTGGACTCTTGCTCTTTTCTACTGCTACAGACAGACAAACACCGCTACCCATCTTGATCTATCACAGATTAATGCATTACCTTTTGGGTATGAGTCGGTAAGAACCACATCTTCATGGCCTTGTTCAGTAATCCTGATCACAAAAAGGGGAAGGCCGTCCTTCTCTTCAATAGAACACAGGTAGCGACATCTGCGGTTGGCATACCGTGTACTCCAATATAACCGGCTGGCCTCATAGCCCACAGGGTAGAGTACCCTGGAGGAGTGGAAGGCCTGCATCTGGTGCGGCAACAGCTGGCCAATAGTGTGGAAGATAAGGCTTCCCACCCGGAAAGTGTGTTCTCGGTCCCCCCGTTGTACAATGCTGGCAATCTGGCGGACTTCGTCGCGCTGGACGTAGACCCGCCTGAAGACTGCAAAATAGCTGAGTTCTTGCTCGTGAGCTCCCTTTGGTTTGTGCATGGGGCAAAGCATGGTTTTGTCTTTAAAAAACATGCATTGTGCTTTAATGGCACAGGTAAAGTGATAAATATTGGTGCACCTTAACCTGTGACAGCCGCTGGTGGCGCCCATCTTGTGACAGAACGTGCATTTCATTTGCAAGCCCCTCCGCAGGGCAAGCTCCACATTTATTAAGGCACCAGCTTGTGTCTCATAGACCTCCGTTGACCAAAGCGCACAGTTCAAATGGACCCAAAGGTCTAAGTCAAGGTTAAGAAGTCTGGCTGGTCCATCTGTTAACCCATCACCCTCTTCATGACAGAAGCAACACTTTCGGTAGTCCTTGGGTACAGGATCCGGTTTAATGGTTGTGCCCAGTTTCCTGAGGAACTCATCTATCTCCTCATCACAAGGAGGCCTGAAGGTTCCTTTAGGAATCACAATCTGTATGTTCCATTTCTTCCACTTCATTCCTTTCCACTTCTTATTTAATGGTCGACAGTCATCAAGACCATTGGGTATTGTTCTCAAACGGGGTTTGAGTTTCACGGTTACCTTCAGCTCGTCTGGTTTTGGCTCCACCCTAGCTGCTTCAAAAGCGGGAGGGAAGGTAATAAGGGGAGATGATGGTGGAGAAACCTTTTCCTGGAACTGAGGGAGACAGTGCACATCCAGTGTGGAGATGTTGTTGTTATACTGATGGAACCCTTTGGGGGGAGCCTCCTTCATGTGGAACTGTGGTAAGGAAGGAATTGATTCCTGCAGGGGGAAAAACAGAAAGCTTTTCAGTACAAAGTCAGGAAACACACATTCAAGCGGTATTCTTTTCAGGCCAGATGCAGTTAACGGGAGAAAAGCTACAGTTGGTAAAAAACTGGAGACTGTTCACTTGATTTATTAATATCGGGTCTTATACTAAATGATAAGTAAGCTTTTTTAAATTAGACAGCATCAAACTTGCCCACAAAATTACTTCAATCATCCATGAGTTAAAGACAGAGGACTTAAAACAGATTAAAAAAAATGGAGCAGCAAATTGTTTCTGGAGAAAGGAGCCAAGAGAATTGGCATTTTACAAGAACTGTAATCTCTATGATAAAACACTGTTATGTATATGGTGGGGTATATATGGATCCCCATTTAAGAACTTCTGCAAGGCCAGCATCGGAGAAACTCCTACTGGATGAGGCCCTGAAATACAACTGAAAAATCTGGACCAGATCCCAGTACAGTCACATTAACACTATATGTTTATATTAGAAGATAACTAAAGGACAAAACTTGCAGAAAATAATTTGAATTGAACAAAGTATTTTAGCCCTGCTATTTAAAGCTACAGAACTTTGAAAGATAAACCACATGACTAACCACATCAGTATGGACCTTTTAAATTAAAATTTAATGTGTTTTTCATTAAAGCAGCGGCTTCAGGAAGTCCCCAGTACAATAACATGCTTGTGAATTTACCTTGCTCTCTGAATTTTTTGCTTGCATGGACGCTGAGTAGAGGACAAAGCAGTTATTGCTACAGAAGACAACATCTTTCTCCATTCTCTCAGACCTCTCTCTGGAATCCTGAAAGTGAAAACCCAAACAACATAAAAACACAACCCAGGAAACTACATTTCATGAGTCAGCCATGATTTAAAAACAAGACAAAATATCCATTCTTTATCTATCTTCTGTTAGTGCAATATTTTGGAGCCCAAATTCTGCTCAGAAAGGTCTTGTTTTTAGATCTTGACTTTCCTAATTAGATAACACAACTGATTTTCTTGACATACAAAACAATGAAAATGGTAAAGCTTTAAAGCAGAAAAAAATCTTTTCATTTCTCATTAAGAAATGTACGCTTAGATGCTTTGTAGATCTGTACTCACACTAACATTTCGTCAGATACAATTCTGATCTGCCCTTAACTACTTTACAGGAAGAAATAATTTCAAGCCAAAATCAAATGAACTGGCAATGGCAATTTGGAGGCATGCCAAACTTCCAAAATTGTCAACTGTTCCAGTATCAGTATCCAAAAGGGAGAGCTTCTGGGGAGTTCTGTTTTTTCTACAGATAGTAAAACAACAGAAATTAAATGGAAGTCAGATAAAAGTTTAATGAACTCTCTTTTGTTTGAACATATAAAATACTGTTAGTTTACAGTGCTTTGTCGAGTCATCCCTGCACTATTGGAAACATTTTAGTGAAAGTGAAAACTTTTGCATTCCTTTATCCTCCAAAAAGCAATAAAACAGAAGAGCAGTAGGCACCCGGTATTCCCAGGCGGTCTCCCATCCAAGTACTAACCAGGCCCGACCCTGCTTAGCTTCCGAGATCAGACGAGATCGGGCGTGTTCAGGGTGGTATAGCCGTAATTAACAGTTATACAATAGAGAGAAAAACAGGTTGCTTACCTGTAACTGGTGATCTTTGAGTGGTCATCTGTGCATTCACACCCATGGGATCTAGTGCGCACGTGCTGGATCGATCGGCATTGTAGCAAGCTCTTTAACGGATTTTCACGCCCAGACCTCGGGCATGCGCAGGAACCCCACCGCGCATGCCCAGGGGACGGCGCGGACATCCCGCCAGTTCCTTCAAACCGCCGCAAATCAACCCCTATTGAAAATGTAGAAACTGACAGCAGCGGGAAAGGAGGGCGGGTGGTGTGAATGCACAGATGACCACTCGAAGACCACCAGTTACAGGTAAGCAACCTGTTTATCTTCGACGTGGTCTCTGTGCTTCACACCCATGGAAGATTAGTGAGCAGTGGCCTACCTGGAGGAGGGTGCTGGCAGGTCCTTACTGCGTAGCCGAAGATAAAATGCAACGTCCCATGTTGGTATTAAGTTTTTGCGGACGTCTAGGGTGTAGTGCCTGATGAAGGTATTAGGCGTGGGCCACGTAGCGGCTTTGCAAATGTCCATCAGGGGAATTCCCTGGAGGAAGGCAGTGGAAGCTGCAACAGCTCGAGTTGAATGGGCCCTGATCGGGCCAGGCAATGGCTGTTTGGCAATCAGGTAGCAGAGGTGGATGAGACCCGCAATCCACTTTGAGAGGCACTGAGCCGTGATGCGAGTCCCCAGCCTTGTTGGTGCGTAAGAGACGAACAGCTGGGAGTCATGCCTCGTTGGACGGGTTCTGTTCAGGTAGAACAGGAGCGCACGTTTCACATCCAAGGTGTGTAACAGTCTGTCCTCTGAGGATGTCGGAGCCGGAAAGCAATCCGGGAGGAAGACCTCTGCCTGTAGGTGGAATTCTGACACTACCTTTGGCAGGAAATGAGATGTTAGGGACGAGGCGGACACCATCTGGCAAAAAGGACAAGTAAGGCGTGTCGTGTCTGAAAGCCAGTATTTCTCCAACTCGCCTTGCAGAGGTGACAGCAATCAGAAAGGCCGTCTTCCATGACAAGAATTTCAGGTCGCAAGATGCGAGTGGTTCAAAGGGTTTCCTCGTGAGCTGACGAAGAACTAGAGGAAGGTCCCAGGGAACGACAGGAGTTTTGACAGGAGGGTAGAGATGTAATAAACCTTTTAAAAAACTTTTTGGAGACTGGTTTCCGGTGCGGCGCCACAAGTGGACGGGTCTCGGCTTTCTCCGAGCTGCCCAATCCCATTGCGTTCTTTTGGAGCCCCCCACGCTAATGGGGGAGCCCCACTTTGCTTCCTGGAGGGAGGCAAAGTTGCAAGAGGCTTCTTCGCTCACCCCTGATGGACGGCGAATCGTGGGGGTGTTGACGTTGTGCCCCGATGCGGGAGCGCAGAGGAGGAGAAAACATGGCTGCCGCCATGGTTTTCATAGCAGCGACCAGCCGTTTTTTTTTTAATATATAAAGATTTTATTGGCTCCCCTAAAAAGGGGAGGTATTTCGCTTAAAAGAAAAAATGGGAAGGGTAGACAGTGGGAGTAAGAGAAAGCTGAGTGATATATAAACTGGTAAATTAAACTGTTAGTAATGTCCAATTAATCTTCTTGTGCTTCTTCTGTGTGTTGTCAAACTTCTTTTCTTAGTCCTGTCACATGTAGTTCTCTGTTAGTATGTTAGTAATGTTCCTTTGAATTTCTGTTAATAAAAGAAAATCTCTTCTGTGCACATTCAGAATCGCTTCTTTGCGTGCTGGGTACTTTTACTATCGCTGACGTGGAGGAGCTTCCTCTGTTGTCTTCTCCTTCCGGCTTGTTAGATCCTCCTTCGGGTTGTTAATACTCTCAGTTCATGCACTATAAATCCTCTTCTTTTCATGCCATTACCGGAGGTCCCCAATTTTGAGAATGGTATTAATTTCATTTTCGCTTTTATATCCACTCCCAAACTCTCTATGGGTCCTCCTTGCAATTGCTGACTTATATAAGCGCTTGCCAGGCACTTCTCGCTGTCACAATTCAAACTTTTCCGTTTTACAAAACTCCCGTCGGATTCACAGCCATAAACAGTCCAAACATTCAACAGCCGGCTCTCGCACACAAGCAAACGCCCAGACGAAAG